TATCTTGAGCTGATGTCCAGATGTTGGGCCTGATTTTTTTTTGGCTATCAATTATCCCTGAGTCAAATTGTCTGTTTATCGGGGTCTCACTGTATAAGCTATTGAAAACACCAAGCAAATAAAACTGAGCATCACTCCCTCACCCATTGGTCCCATAGACCCGCCTAACCCCTGGGGACTTTTTTTCGTGGGCCCCTCCACTACAAAACTTAATCCCCAGCAGGGTCCCTTTTCGTTGGGGACCTATTCTTTCAAAGCCATGATGCTTTATAATTGAAATTCCCGGGAACCGTGAGATTCAAATGACTTGAAATAACATACCATAAGCGTCTTCATCCGGATTTCCAGAGTAATATTCCAGAACCGTCCGATAGACTATGTATCCCAGGGCTTTGTACATAGCTATGGCAACTTTGTTTGAAATCCTCACAAACAGGTCCACGAAATACGTGTTCTTCCTAAAATAAAATGCAGGTTACTTGCCTGGGAATGTCGGGAAATAGGACTTTGGGCTTTTACAAGAAATGTCAACTCACTTTTCTGATATTTCCTCCATGTTTTGCATGAGTTTTCTGGCAAGCCCAAAGCGACGATGATCTGGTCCAACGCTAAGAGCAGTGACATGAGCATGCCACCGTTCGCCTGTGCCTTCAGCTTTGCTCATTACTGCAGAATGGGATTCCATCATATTTATGAGCATGAATACCTTTTTTTAATTTATTTAGAGTGCATTCCAAACTGGTGTAGTTGTAAAAATAATAAATAGCATGAGAAAAATCATCCAAGGCATTTGGGATTTGGATTTTCAATGCATCAAATATCTTGCAGAATTTCAAGAAATAGTATATTACTCTTCAGAAATGGTTCTATCTTGAAAGATTTGGAATATTAAGCAAACAAAAATGTGACTCAGGCAGTTTCAAGGTCAAAACTTGAAAATTGAAAAAGTTGAGTTAAAGTAAAAAAATTCAAGAACTACAGGGAGTTAAAATTGGGTATCTTATCAGATTCAAACTGATTTGTAGATTAGCTGGACATGGTAGCAATGGTTCAAATTTCCCATTGGTCACACCCTAAAAGCATCAAGTTAAATTTTTATTGCTTTTTCACTTTCCTTGGTACCCAGAATAATTGCCTAATAGAGGTCTCCAGACTAAGAGAGATTTTAATACAGGAGGACTTGCTCTACAAACATTTCCTCTACTTGAAAAAAAAAAATTCCTACAGCATTAACTCGCCATGTTATAATGGGTTCTCTACAACAAATTTGTTTCTGGTCCCTTGAGGTTTGTTGTAGAGATAGAGTCCTCCTGTACCATACATTTCAGCCTTATACTTTTGGCAAAAATCCCAACTTTGAAAATTAAAAAGTTGTTCAACAGTGTAAGGCTGAAATGTATGGTACAACTTTTTAATTTTCAAAGTTGGGATTTTTGCCAAAAAAAATATTTTTTCAACAAAATTTTGGTTTCATAACCAAGGGATATTCCTCAAAACCAAAAGTTTGTTACCCAAGCAGTTTTTTAACCGAGTCTCAACTTTGTATGTGATTTGAGTTCTATAATTTTTTTTCAGCACCATTATTCATATGCCTATGTATTGTTCTGCTGATAAATCAGACAAGGACCTGACAACAAATTGATGCATTGGATGTTCGGGTCATGGAAGTCCCAAATGATTCTCAAAACTGTTTTTTTTGCTGCACCATTGGAGTTTTCTACAATTATTTTTTTCTGGTCCCTTGAATTTTGTTGTAGAGAGAGAGACCACGTAAATTTAATTTATCATGACTTTGAATGATTATCATGGAATTTGAAGATACGCCAGAATCCAGTGAGGAAAAATTAGCGCGGAAATTGCTACTCATCAAATTCCATTGACTGTATGACCAGAAGCACCAAAACATGAAGAAAAATGGCACTGAAATAATACTCTTGAACTATCATAAATTGTCCAAAATTGAAATAAAAATTCCGCAAGAACAATTTAATTTATCTAAACGAAGTGTAAATTAGTAATGCGGAAAAATTTCTGTCGAACGTCTAGATCCTTGATATGAACGTCTTTTACCTCTAGTGCATGACATAGGGAGGTCAAGAGGTCTTCCGCTAGCTCGCTGATGAAAAAATTCAGACCAATGTGCAAGGTATTGCAGATAAAAAGATATTCCAAACTGCAGAAATTAAAAGCGCCATTATTCGAAATTCACGGCAAGGCGAATAAATGTTCTCGACTTGCCGTTTCTGTTAGGGGATCCAAATTCCTGGAGAGAAAAAAAACCAACAAAATAATTGTTCATCAGAGCTCAATTCTTGAAAAAAAGATATTCGAGATTTTTCAAAACTCACAAATTATTGAAGACGAAGAGGTCATCGCACGTAAAAGCAGAAATCGACGTCATTTCGAAAAAATTTTTTTTTTCCCTTCAAGGAAACGAGAAAAGAAAGCTCGCCTTCAAACCAGAACCGGAAGATCTCCAGTCAAGAACTCTCGGGATTTTTGTTCCGTGTTTTTTTTTTTTTTTGTGGGAGAAACACGCGATTTTTTCAATATTCGACCTTTACTCGCGTCACACAGGTCATCCTCCAAGGTCCTTTAACACGGTGCCACTTGATTAGATAATACCCAGCGCAAAAGATTTGCCCGAAAAGACACTTTTCTTTTCATGAAAAGAGAGGAACCGAAGGAATGCTTCACAGAATCTCGATGCGCACCATCAACCATGGAGCCAACGATTCACGAAAAACGGCGTCAGGAGAAAATGCCACATTTCAAAAAGCCGCAGAATTTTTACGGCGGAGACTTTGTTTTTAACAAAAAATTTTTATGTTGTTTACTGCGTAAAGGCGGTGAGATTTTTGTTTGTTTTTTGTAGTTTGGTGTTAGTCTTATTACTTATTCCAAGACTGTAATTTTCATTTTTGAAAGATCAGACAGTTTCATTTTTGAAAGATCAGATAGTTTCATTTTTGAAAGATTAGATAGTTTCATTTTTGAAAGATCAGATAGTTTCATTTTTGAAAGATCAGATAGTTTCATTTTTGAAAGATCAAATAAGACAAAATACCACTCAGCAAAGCCAAAAAGTATTCTTGAACCAAGAAAAAAGCGTATTGTAATTGGGATAAAAAAAAAGGGGGAAAAATTGTGAAAAGATCATTGCGTAAATCATGTTCGGGTTTCTGATCCACTGCTTGAATCAACACGAGTTTTAAACGGCAGAAATTAATCATTTGCTGCATCTCCTTCATTATCTTCTTTTATTCTCCACATGCGGCATTTTTCTCTGCGGCATAATTCTGTTTTCACGAAACTATTTATCTGCTGCGGAATTTTCTCTTGGCGCCCACGAACACACCTCACTCAAGAAACCGACGTGCTTTTCCTTTCTTCTTTTTCTTCCGACTCGTTCACGGGACTAAATTTCATTTTTTTCAGAATCGCCTNCGTAAATCATGTTCGGGTTTCTGATCCACTGCTTGAATCAACACGAGTTTTAAACGGCAGAAATTAATCATTTGCTGCATCTCCTTCATTATCTTCTTTTATTCTCCACATGCGGCATTTTTCTCTGCGGCATAATTCTGTTTTCACGAAACTATTTATCTGCTGCGGAATTTTCTCTTGGCGCCCACGAACACACCTCACTCAAGAAACCGACGTGCTTTTCCTTTCTTCTTTTTCTTCCGACTCGTTCACGGGACTAAATTTCATTTTTTTCAGAATCGCCTAATTCACTTTCCCTAAACCAGCACTCGCCAAACTGCTAACTACGGTAGTCCCGAGCTTTTCCCTAATTTTTATTTGCGTCACGGCTGCGTCTCTCAGCGAGATTAGATGCGTAAGCTCGATCTCGACTTTGGCGAGTTCGATCGCCTTGTCGTAGAGTTCCACGGCATATTCCAGGTTATTCCTGCAATCAAAACATTAATTTCACTTGAAATAATGAAGAATGAATGGAGCCGGGACAATTGAGCGTGTGTCAAAACAGCGCCGATCAGAAAAGACCTTGCATATTCGAAAAGAGCGCCACGCCAGTGATAGGTTGTTGGTATGTACACGGAGACCCTGAGATGCGGACGTAATTGGTTGCATCAAGAGTTTCCCTAAGTCAAGTCTCATTTTCCCTTAGACTTACATAATATAAACTTTAATTGACATTTTATGGACAAAATACTCACCATCATTCCATACAAATAAAAAATTGTTCCCAATTGAAACTGATTCAATCAATAAACTTCAACACAATATGAATATTTGGGGAATTGAATACTGATACCTCTGTAAAGTACATATAAATGTTGACATTCTCTATAAAATAACATTCAAGTGAAAAAGAGAGAAGGAAGACCCTCTATGCTGGAGGTAATTTTTTTTTAATTGGCTAAATGGATGGTAAATTGGTGAGGAAATGCCCAACAACTTTTTTTTACATCAATTTTAGGGTTGGAAATATCTGTTTCTTGTAATTTGGCCTGAAAATCATTTGCAATTTTATCGCAAAATGTCCCTATGTTGAGACAGTGTCCTCATGTTGGGCCTTTTTTATTAATTTTTAATGAGAAAATAAGTGTCCCTGTGTCAAATTGTCCGCATGTTGAGGTGTCCACATGTGGGGGTCCCACTGTACTGAAATCAAGTCAATAGAACATTTGACATTTGCAGAATTGAAGAAGACCAAAAGTTCTTTGCTAACTGTACAACAAACCTTCATCTATGAAACTTGAAAATAATGATATTAATAATTTCAAAATTTAAAAAATGGAAAGATTTGAAGATTTAAAATTTTGGTCAGGCGAGTTTCATCACGGAAAAAATTTACATGAAATGAGACTGTTATACAATAAATAGGGGAAAGTAAACCATTCAAAATAAGACAAGAAAATTTTTCATCAAAAAATGACGGAAGGATCAAGTGTTCATTTTCGACACAATCTTTATCTGTACATGTTATTGAAGTGCTGCAATGCATGCACTCGATGATTTATTTCGGGGGACTGTTTTGCATCAGTGCTATTTTTCACTCTTGTTGTTTTTCAGTTTGCACTGTTGAGAACAATTCATATTTTTCCAGGTACTCGGCGCTATTTCGGACAAGCAATGCTTCGACACACGCCGTTTTGGCACACGCTGTTATGAATGCGATTCGGGAAAAGTTCAATTGTCGGGCAAAAAGAAGAAGAAGAAAAAAAAATGATGAGGAATTTTGCACGAACCTTTGAACCTCCAGCGTTGCCCAGGTTTCGTACGCAAATTCGCATTTCGGGTCAATTTCGAGCGCCTTCTTCATGTATTTCACAGCTTCATCCGTGTTGTTTGTTTGCACTTTAATCAAACCTCTGTGCACAAGGATCATGGCATCCTCGGGATTCAGTTTGTGAGCGCGTTCCATGTATTCTTCGGCTTGCTGATATTCGTTCAGATCGGCCAGTATCTGTAAAGCAATTATAACCTCTTCCAGCTCGGAAACACAAATTTACAGGAGAGAATATTTTCAAATACTGCATCTGAAATATTCTCAGATAGTCTATCTGAAATATTCTCAGATACTGTATCTGAAATATTCTCTGATATGAACTACTGTACTTTCAAAAACATGAACCATTCCTTGAAATCTGAAATGTTTTCAAGTTCTCTGAAATAGGAAGTGTACAGAAATAGTTTTAAATATTTTGAAAAAATAAATCTGAAATATTCTGAAAAAGAAATTGTCTGAAAATGAAATCTGAAATATAATGAAGAAATCTGAAATATTCCAAAAAAGGAATCTGGAATATTCTGAAAAAAATATCTGAAATATTTTGAAAAATGAATCTCAAATATTCCAAAAAAAAAAATCTGAAATATTCTGAAAAAAATTCTGAAATATTCTGAAAAGAAAAATCTGAAATATTCTGGAAAAAAAATCTGAAATATTTCAAAAATGAAATGGAAATATTCCAAAAATGAAATCTGGAATAATCTGAAAAATAAATCTGAATTATTTTGAAAAATAAATCTGAAATATTTTGAAAAATAAATCTGAAATATTTTGAAAATTAAATCTGAAATATTTTGAAAAATAAATCTGAAATATTACAAAAATGAAATGTGAAACAATCCAAAAAATAAATCTGGAATAATCTAAAAAAAAAATCTGAAATATTTTGAAAAATAAACCTGAAATATTCTGAGAAGTAAATTTGAATTGTTCAGAAGAATGAATCTAAAATATTTTCAGAAAAATGACATACAATATTTTTAGAAACAGGAAATACTTCCAAAAAGATGAGCTATAAAAAAATTTTTCATACATCTGAAACCTGAAACCTATTCAGAAAGCCGTCATCTTTTGCTTGTATGTCATGCTTTCCATCATGATGTTGTATACATCATGTTTTCCAAGTTGATCATGATATTATTCCGAAGTTTTCAGATTCATCATTAGAATTCAGAAAATTCCTAATTTTTTGAAGAAAATAAAATATTGATACAGCATTTACGCGTGCATCACATGTAAGGCTGACATTTCCTTGAGTCAGATACAAAAACAATTTCTCACAGATTCTGAATTCACGGCATTTTTAGATTGAATATCCATCTAAAATAAAGATACAGGATTATTTTTTGGGTTAATCCACAAATAAGTAACCTGTCACCCCTGAACCCACAATTCAGAAAATGCAACATTCTTTCACATTTCCACCCCACATCAATTTGTAGACTTGAGAAATGAGTGATTACAAATAATGAATAAAAGAAAAGAAAAAAAAACCTGTCCAAAAATTGAGCATCCGTCAGAACTGCTCGGGAACTTGTCCACGGTTTCCCGGAATCTGGCAGCGCAAGCAGAAACCTTTTCCAAATTCTGCTCCCGGAAGGCACGTCGGTATTCCACGAGACGTTTCTGAATTTGGGTAGGAGGAAAACTCGGATGCAAAGCAGCAGCCTTGTCGAAGTCTGACACAGCCTTGTCATACTTTTCCAACAGCATCATCACCTAAACATAACATTAGAAAATAGCAAACATAAAAATTACAATAATATCAACTGATGATCTCGACCACAATAGTATACTGTATTTATAAAAGAAGAAATGCACATCTTCCAGATATCTTGAATGTTCAAAAATCCGGTAAACAGCAAAAAAACTGGAGTACCGTAAATAATGACGGAAAGCTTTCCCACGCATTTTGTCCCGACTTCACGTTTTTAAATTTATTTCAACACGGATGGCGCCTGAATTTAATCTCAATTCCGAAGTACTCCAATCGGTAATTACGACTCAGATCATGTAATGGAGATTTACACATTCGACCTTGGAGTTATACAACATTAGCGTGTAAGATATTAAAATTGCTGCTGATTTTTACGGGAATAGCCGTTATATTTGCGTACAAGACCCATTTCGCCAAAAACGAATATTTTTTAAAATCTGCGATTGAAACAATTTCCCACTTCACCAAAATGGCTTGTGGAAAGCTGGGTGGCGGCCCAAGTGCACAAGAACGAAGTAACTTTACGCGACACCTTCCCGAAATTATAGAAAGCATTTCAGAGGAAATTGACCTGATAAGAATGGATGAAAACTGGACAACCAACCTGTCCACGATGATGGAAAACGTCTCCATTGCTCGGATCGAGCTTCAAAGCCCGGTCGAAGTCGGCAAAGCAGGATTCAACATCCTCGTCTTGGAGATGCTGACATGCCCGTTTGATCAGAGCATTTACTTTTACCTGAAAAAAATTCAGTAAAAATACATGAACATATCACTATATACAGTAAATATTTCTAATCTCAAAGTTGTACATAAATGATAGAAGTATAGTAATGTACTGTATTGCGAAAAAGTATTATAAATATATAGAAAAATATGAAATATAAATACCTGCACTGCAAAAATATTATAAATATGCAGAAAATTTTCAGAAATATGAAAAATACTAAAATTTTTCAGAAAAATATTAGAAATATGCAGAAAAATATTGGACTTATGCAGAAATATGTTAATATACAGAAAAAAATTAATATGCACAACATGTTAGAATTAAATACAGTGCGTGGATATTTAAATACTATAATAAATGGAAACTATGAATAAAAACCTGAAAAATATGTACAGTGAGACCCGCACACGCGGACACCTTAACCTGCAGAGAATTCAAAATAGGGAAATTTATTTTTCAATAAAAATGGCATAAAAAAAGGCCAAACATGAAGACACTGACTTGACATAGGGACATTTTGTGATAAAATTGCAAATAAATTCTTGGCGTAATTACAAGAAACAGATATTTCCAACCCTGAAATTGATGAAAGAAAAGTTCTTGGGCATTTCTTTCACCAAATTACCATCCATTCCACTAATTAAAAAAATCACCTCCAGCATAGAGGGACTTTTACTTTTTTCACTTGAATGTTATTTTTGTAATGCCAAAATTTCAGTGTACAGTACAGAAATACACTATTCAATGCTCCAAATGTTCTTATTGAGTTGAAAATCCACATCTTGGGGTCTCACTGTACTTATACTGTTTATTGTTCATGTCAACTTAAGTCATGGATGATGGTCTAGTGCAATATTATTTCACCACTTTAGTCTCTTGTTTTTTATGTGTTTTATTGGCTTGTTTCCCAACAGGGGATTATATATCAGAATAAAAGCGCCAATACAACTATGCGCACCTACAGGTCTCAATCACAACACAGGCTGACCTTAAGATTCGCATCTGGATGCTCGATGCAGGCTGTGAAATCTTTCAGAGCCTTGGCTCCATCACCCATCAAAAACAACCAGGTTCCTCTCAAAAGAAGGGCCTTCGCCACTTCTTCCTTTTTCTCCTGAACACTCTCATCACCTTCCCCACTAGGTGAATCATAGCCCTTCAACTCCATATTGCACTGTGTCAGAACTTCCTCGTGGTTACCGGCATTGAATGCTTCCAGCGCTTTCAAATAATGGCCAGAATTTCTGGAAGTAGTTCAGGAAATTTAATATCGTAGTAGGAAAATTATAAAACAAAAAACCATAAACTCACGTATCATCGACGGCTTCCTCTTCATGAACATTTGCATTCAAGGCCTTTGCTTCCTCAACGATGGGATCCTCCAAAAATGAGGACAAATAATTTTGTATGAAATATTTGGAGGGAAGTAGAGGCACACGAGTTTTCATGTAGGCTTTTGCTTTCCGCATACCTTCAGGAGAAAAGAAGAAGAATTAATGAGGCAAAAATAATCCTTGGTCCAAGAAAATTTCGGATTTCATTTTCATTTCATACTTCACTTTATTGCTCAAATTCATTTTTTAATAATCCTGATATTAAAATTCCCAATAATAAAATTCCCAAATTTCTCATGTGCCCCAGCAGTTTCTTCACAGGATCCATAACATACCAAAAATCTTGTGTAAACAAGCTTACTATTTCTGATCATCTGATACATGCACTAGTTGATATTCCCAATAATCTTATAACAATTCCCGATAATCTTAAAACAATTCCCAATAATCTTATAACAATTCCCAATAATCTTATAACAATTCCCAATAATCTTATAACAATTCCCAATAATCTTATAACAATTCCCAATAATCTTATAACAATTCCCAATAAT